CATTCACACACATGCACATTGAAGACACACTCATAGATGCACACACATACCCACATACAAATTACCAGACAGATATACACACACAGGGATACTTAATGCCAGATAGATACAAATACCAATATACACTGACAAACATACACAGATATACGTGCAGCATTGCACACACAGACACAATACACAAACACTTTCAGAAACACACAAAATCAAATATTGAAATTTAAGTTATTTTAGCCATTCTTCTCTTTGCCTACTTTTTTCCAGGAGAGTAGCATTCTTGTGGTCTGCAGCTGCCTGGTTGCGCTGGAGATGAACAGAAGCAGACTGTACCCTCCTTTAAGAGACTCATGCCTCCACAGATCCACAATATGGTCCATTTCTTCAGCTCCATTACAGGACTCCATCCAGGTTCCAGATAGCAGCCGGGCCTCGTAACAGATTACCGGACAGTGGCCCTGATTATTTACATTCATTTTTAGTCATTTTAACCAGAAAAACATTATTGGCTGGGTTTTTTTACGGCAATACAAAAAATAGTGAACACTATTGATGAGAAAGTTATTCTAGCTTGTTTGAAGTGGACAGTGCAGCACTATTGATTGGATATTTTTGTTTTGGCATCTTGTTAACTGACTTATTAAAGGGAAATATAATTAATAAATAGATATTATATAAATACACATATACATTTTAGAATTCAGGAAGAAAGTCTTTTAAAGTATGAAGTACAAATAATACTGAGCCATACATTTTACAGACAAATGACAATGATTTGTAATTAATAATAATTTAACATATAACAAAGCAGTCTTTAAAGGTCCTATGTAACAGGACTGCACAGATAATAAATAAGCAAGATATAACATAAAGGCAGACAGTCTGTAGGGACCAAAGTGTGATGATTGCATTGAAATTGAAAATAAATATATAAAACCACTGGTTATAAAATGGTTTCATGAAAAATGTCAAAGTGCCTCTAGGTATGTACTTTTCATATAAATAAAATATTCGTGTAGTGCTTTTGGATTTATTTAATGAGAACACGTAAACTTTTGATCCTAGAATATCAAATTTTACAGACTTTCAAATTTAATGCTAAAATGATTCCATTTTACCTCATAATAATATTTCCCAAATCAGTACAAATAAATGATTGCATTTTAAGGTATTTTGCTGTAACTGTACTTGTGGTGTAGAATTGGTGGAGTATATTGGAAGCATGGGCTTGTCACCAGTGGGGTACCTCAGGGATCTGTACTTGGACCCATTCACTTTAATATTTTTATTAGTGATATTGCAGAAGGTCTTGATGGTAAGGTATGTCTTTTTGCTGATGATGCTTAGATATGTAACAGGGTTGATTTTCCTGGAGGGATAAGCCAAATGGCAAATGATTAAGGTAAACTAGAAAAATGGTCAGAGTTGTGGCAACTGACATTTAATGTGGATAAGTGCAAGATAATGCATCTTGGACGTAAAAACCCAAGGGCAGAGTACAGAATATTTGATAGAGTCCTAACCTCAACAATTGAAGAAAGGGATTTAGGGGTGATTATTTCTGATGACTTAAAGGTAGGCAGACAATGTAATAGAGCAACAGGAAATGCTAGCAGAATGCTTGGTTGTATAGGGAGAGGTATTAGCAGTAGAAAGAGGGAAGTGCTCATGTCATTGTGCAGAACACTGGTGAGACTTCACTTGGAGTATTGTACGCAGTACTGGAGACCGTATCTCCAGAAGGATATTGATACTTTAGAGAGAGTTCAGAGAAGGGCTATTAAACTGATTAATGGGTTGCAGAATAAAACTTACAAGGAAAGGTTAAAGGAACTTAACATGTATAGCTTGGAGGAACGACGAGACAGGCGGGATATGATAGAAAAATTTAAATACATAAAGGGAATCAACACAGTAAAAGAAGAAAAACTACCACAACAAGACAACATAGTCTTAAATTAGAGGGGCAAAGGTTTAAAAATAATATCAGGAAGTATTACTTTACTGAGAGAGTAGTGGATGCACAGAATAGCCTTCCAGTTTAAGTGGTAGAGGTTAACACAGTAAAGGAGTTTTAAAATGCGTGGGATTGGCATAAGGCTATCCTAACTATAAGATAAGGCCAGGGACTAATGAAAGTATTTAGAAAATTGGGCAGACTAGATGGGCTGAATGGTTCTAATCTGTCATCACATTCTATGTTTCTATATGAAATTAGAATAATTTATTATTTTAAGCATAGGTTTTATTCGCATTTAATGTTACATTGCCTATATAAATGTATAAAATGTATATACAGGGAGTGCAGAATTATTAGGCAAGTTGTATTTTTGAGGATTAATTTTATTATTGAACAACAACCATGTTCTCAATGAACCCAAAAAACTCATTAATATCAAAGCTTAATATTTTTGGAAGTAGTTTTTAGTTTGTTTT